TCACTCACTCACTCACTCACTCACTCACTCACTCACTCACTCACTCACTCACTCACTCACTCACTCACTCACTCACTCACTCACGCACTCACGCACTCACTCACTCACGCACTCACGCACTCACTCACTCACTCACTCACTCACTCACTCACTCACTCACTCACTCACTCACTCACTCACTCACTCACTCACTCACTCACTCACTCACTCACATTCATCATCATCATCATCATGTGCCAGCGATGTTTACCAGCCACAGGGCATGCAGAAAGAGTTCACAAAATGTGCGGCTGCGCTCGAAAGAGTGCAGAACATTACTTTGGTCAGCGGAAGTATGGTGAGCACACCATCGTTTTGATAGTGTGTCGGAAAAAAAACATCAGAGCCTGGTGGAACTCGATGAAAGCGAAGCAACTTACTCACAAACAACTTACCCTACGTACATACATACACAGATACCTAAATACATACATACATACCTACCTACCTATCTACCTACCTACCTACCTACATACATACCACCATCGTCCCTCCATCACTCTCATACTTCCTCTTCCCTTCTCGCTTTCTGTGCTCCGTCTAAGTCTGAAGAAGTTGCTAACATGTGGGGTTATCCGGTCCTATAATTTTGGAACTGCTAGCTTGCAATCCTTTTGGAGGTAGCCTCAAGGTAAGAACTTGCATCTTTCATGTTAAATTGAAGCATGAAAACTGTAAACCTTTTGCAAGGAACTGGCCAAAACAGATTTTTGAAAAAGCATGGGCAAATCTGTGCGGTTGCAGCCTGTCATCTGCGGGCTCAGTGTGCATGTGGTGCAGTTTGATGCACTGTTTTTGTGCATGTCCGGTTCCAACGCCCTTTATAGGTGACATACCGCATTTCAGAATGGTATGCATTGCAAGATCGAATTTCGAAAACAGTGACATCCCGCATTTCAGAACGGTATGCATTGCAAGATCGATTTCGATAACAGCAAAACCTACTATAGAAACAATTACAACCCATGGAAACAGTACATATCACCTACAATGTCATAGAATGTCAAAGTTGACATTTTGATCGTTTCAACTTTCACCATCCTGACATGGCGCCGAAACCTGTGCTGACACCTGCCAAACGGCCAGCTGAAGCAATTGATGCGCCCGATGGAGCACCAGCTGGATGGGCATCTTCAAGGTTGTGGAACAAGGACTCATGTTCTAAACGTGTTTCAAGACTTTTCTTTTTAAAGCATGCATGATTTTGGGTTGTTTGGGCAAAGATTTGATATCTCAAGGTTCATGTCACAAAGATTTATTTTATGGTTTGACATGATCATTAACAACTCCGTCAGAACCGCGCTACGTATGGCATCGCGAAGAAAGAGGAGGAGTCTGAGGCGGTTGACAAGACCCCGGATCTGCGGCCTGATGTGGTTGACAAAAGTCCTTTGGATGAAACCCAGCAGAAAAGTCAAGATTGGGTGGTGACGAAATATGCAAACATAAGTATATATACAACACGGGAAAAGAATAGTCATATACACTTGTGCAAAGATGATGAACCTGATATGAATGTTGGTTGGTCCCAAGTTGCCAGCACATGGATTCATCGTAGGAAGAAAAAGAATGGGAGAAGCTCAGTGTCGAGGAGCGCATCATGAATATCCAAGTTGATTACGATCAATGGATGGCTGAGGAAGGAATAGAAACTTGGTTGCAGAACTATTTCATGGGTGCGCCACCTGTGTTGACACAACATGTCTATTTGTTTATGCATTTCTAAGTTGTAAATAAAGCACACATGCCTATATGTATATATATATATATAGATTTTATACACAGATACTTTTGGATATATTTGGGGACATAACATGTTGTGCCCTGTGCTCAAACCCTGTTGTGTTGAAAACGGTGAGCATTTTGATAAAGCAAAAATGTGGTACACTCCTTCTCGTTTGGCTTTCCATCACAGGCACTAGCCGAAGGTCATGCAATGCCAGTTAGCACTGAAGCTTCTTGGCTTTGCGTTGAGGAAGGAACGTTGTTGGCAACGGGCACGTCCCATTCTTATCTTTGTGTTGAACCCGTGAGTCTTTTTGAAAGTGACCACATCCGACGACTTATATAGAAACACGTGCCATCAGCTGATTCTATATTAAATCGGGCCTGGACTAGCCCAAAATAATATAGATTCTATACTAAATTGGTGGACTAGCCCGAAATAATATAGATTCTTTATTAAATTGGGCATGGACTGACTAACCCCAAATAATATAGATTCTATATTAAATTTGGTGGCTAGCCCAAAATAATATAGATTCTATATTAAATTGGATCTGGGCTAGCCCAAAATAATATAGATCCTATATTAAATTGGGTCCGGACTAGCCTAAAATAATATACTTCGATATTACTTTTTTTTTCAAACTTAATATCAAAATATATTACGTCTGCCCTGCAGTGGTCCAACATCCATGTTCGTTGAGGCTGGTGTGAAACCCATATGTGATTGGTTTTCCTTCAAATAGTCATGTGGTGGGATTGGATGAGTTCCAAATTCATTCATTTCGAAGGAACACATTTTGATTAGGGGTGATGGGCCACTATGGCTGTGGCCGCTGGCGTTTTGGTTTTTGAAGACGAAGACTCTTCCTGCTTGCACGCTGTCATGAATAAGAGTATAACTCACTTCTACGGAATGTGCATGAATTCAGAGTTCCGGATTGGATATATTGTAAGAAAACAACACTTTTGCCCCCTGATCAGATGGTTTTTCCAAGTACATATTCGTCACCATGAATCATGATGATCAGTTTGTTTGGTATTAGTTTGCTGTTGGTGCAGGATTTGGACATTCTGTGTTTGTGAAATTCTGGCGTGGCATGATTCAACATTTTTTCAAGGACAACGAATATTATGATATGCCGACCCTAAAAGCAGGCAAGACACAAGGCGGGCCGGTTTTCCTGTTGCGTATGCCAGTATGGCTTGGGCCTAAAAGGTCAGCGGCCATGGGTTATGAAAAGGTCTATGCAGCTGGTGTCTCATGTCTTCCCCAAACGTCATCCATGACACTCAATGCCTTTTTCAGTGGATATATGTTTTCTTTGGAAATGAGATGGGGCTTGGAAGAATGACACCAGCACATCTGCTGTCTGCCCGATAGCACCATAGCTGTACGGGAGGTCGGCATAGCTCACAGCGTCTTCGAGCTTCCTCCATTCAATGGTGCCATCAGATTTGTCAAATCTGCAATAGGAGCTACGCAAGCTGTACACAGCAGGGTCATGTCTCGGCTTTGGAGATCGGAATGCTTTTGCATTTTTCGCTACATGAGCTACAATTCCGTCTCTCAGA